TTCTCCTGAGACACGGTCACTGTGTTCTTCACCTTGATCTTCCCCACCAACGCCCTCGTCTCCGCCTGCAGCTTCTTAATGATGCCGTTCGCCTGGAGACAGGAGGAGCCGCAGACACGTGTGAGGCGACTTTCACGTCCATTGGGGTGCCGGGGGCGTTACTCCATGCGAACGGGCGACGCACCTTGATCAGCTCCTCGGATAAGGACTTTACGGTGGCCTCCAGTTTTCCGATGTGAAGCTGCTTGTTCTCGACGTTCCCTTCCACGGATGTCTGCGAGAATTCAAAGGCGTCACCATCTGCCGGACCTCCCGTTCACTCCCAAATAGATGGACAGCCTACCTTCTGCTGCTGCGTGGCCTCCAGCACCTCCTTGGTGCGCAGCACCAGCTGCTCCTTGTCCTTCATCTCCTGCTCCAGGACGGCCACTCGTGTCTGCAGCTGGTTGACCTGCCGCTCCTTCTCGTGGCACTCCTGGTCCAGCGAGCCATTCTCCCGGCGCAGTGACATGGCCTGCTGCTTCGCCCGCTGGCACTCCTGCCGACAAACATGGAGGGTGCGGTTTGTACGAGGAGGTGGGCGGAGCTCCTTATCGCCATGAAGGCTCGCTCAAAGCAAGCTCACCTCCTCCAGTCCTGCCAGCTTGGCTTTCATGTCACGGATGGTCGAGTCGGCCTTGTACTTCTTCTCCGTCAGGTCTCGGTTGGAGGCTTCCAACTCGGTCAGCCGGCTCTGGAGGTGCTGCGTGCTCTGCAGGTGCGTGGCCTCCAGCTCCCTGCGCAGATGCTCGCTCTGCTGCTGGAGTTTCGTTTGGGTCTGTTTGGGACCGACAGTTCGCAGAGGGATGGGAAACCAGACTGAGGCTGCAGTTCACTATGACTTTCAGGACCCTTAAAAGTTACAAGTATGCTGATGCACAAAAGTGCTCAGGAAAATCCATTTAGAGATTAAGCACAAGGCACAGAACATCAGCCCCCGTGGGCTCACCTCTAACGCCTTCTCCCGCTCGGTCGTGAGGTCCTGGGTATGCCGGCTGGACAGGGAGGTGGTGTGGGACGTCCATTCCCCCCGCAATTTATCCAGCTCCCGGCTCTTCTCCGACAGCGTCTGGGGCAGAGAGGTGGAGGATTACGAGGCTGCTGTCGACCTGCACGGTGCATGATGGGCGGGAGGATCGCTCAGCACCTGCTGTGTATAGCTGAGCTGCCTGGTCAGGTCCTCCTCTGTTCTCTTCAGTTTCTGTTCCAGCTGCTGCTTCTCCTCCTGTCACAATGGAGGGACTCACATGTCACTGTACGTCTGTTCGTGTTTATGAAGGTCAGAAGCTGTACATTCTAAATAACCCTGTCAATCCAATTAAATCACTAAAATCCACATATACATAAAATTTGGTCTGCTGTGTAACTGCTAAAGGAGTTTACTTTGATGAATAGAAGATATGACATGTTCTTGCTAAAAAATGCTGAACATACTGTAGATTTATTTGTTAGCAAAGAACAGTGAGTGTATTTTTAGTAAATGGTAACAAATGTATTAAATCTCAGTGTGTGCAAAAACTTGACTGTGAAATTAATACTTTTGAGATTGAAACACAAGCATGGATTTAGAAACCACTATATTCCAGACATGGTCAAAGTTCCCTAAAAAGTCAGCTAAGGTTAATAATGTAGATAGTTTTCCATGGGACTCGCACGGCACTTAGGAAGTAGCAGGAAAACAGTGAAAACCTCCTTCCACAGACCTTCAGCTGGGAGAGGCAGCTGGCCAGATACTTTTTGATATCGACATCCGTCCCATGCAGGAGCTTCAGAGACAGGTGTGTGAGGTGTTTGAATGCGTTGGTTTCCACAATGTTCAGGCTCGCGTGGCTGTGCTCCAGCAGCTGAGATGAAGAGGACAACTGGAGAAGAAACCTACCGCAGAAGAAAATGACAAAGAGTGAAGGCCCAAGGGTACGGAGTTCAAGCAAAAAAAGCAAAGGCAAGTATCAAGTTTTGTCACATACGCAAACATACTTCTATGCGCTTTTTCCAAATGCTCACCTTGGACTGTCTTTGTCTTGTTCAGATATACACAGGTTTAACAAATCGATAAATTTCTGAGGAAAGGCCGAGAAGTCCACCAACAGGCCCTGCTGAACTTTTAAACTGTTAACAACAACACAGGATCTGTATTAACTTCAAATTCTTTCAGGATGACCACATGAATCACTACAGCGGTCATACAATTCCAAAAACCGGGTTAGTTGGTCAGAGCATTTCTTCAAGCACATATCAAAAACATTTGGTTTTGTAGGTAAAATGCACTACGCTTCAATTTCATAATAAGCTTTAAAAATATCCCTTAATTCCTTATATGCGATAGTAGTAAAGTACTCTCGTTTAACGTTTAATATAAATCTTTAATATAGGCAAATTACTGGCGATGACAATTAAATTAAAGAACGGGTAATTTTGATATGGTTAATACCTTTGAAAATCCTCCTCAGAAATGGTAAGGTTGTAGAGAAAGTAGGGGTCGGCATCATCTGTCAACCGCACTACCAAATCCTGTCAACCAAAAAGGGACAGGCCGTGCTTGGGGACAAGGACAAACATTTTTCATAATATACGTTCTTAGCAGTCAATTCGGGTAGGTAGTAATTTATAAAGAAAAATATGAATTTCATTGTTCTTGCAAAAAACCCTAAAACAAAGTCATGTTACAGTACTGTTATATTTGTCTAAAATAAAGTGCGATTACTCACTCTCTTGTGCACCGGATTTGTAGTCAGCTGAAGCTCAACGATGATCCGTATGGTGCTACGTCTGTAGAGAGAGAAGAAAAACATATATTAGCCAAAAGTGCAACGCGTGATATATAAATCAAATATACATATACATTAATGTTCTGTATTGGTAGTATCTTATATTTGATTCAGTCTTTAGCAATTTAAAGCAACAGGCCGGTCGGCTGAAGCGGCTAACCCAGCTTACCGGTCTTCGCAGTCTTTACATTTGATGTGTACTTCTAACACTTTATTGAAAAGTTTCTCCGACATATTTGTTTCATATTCCAGAGCGCCTCGTGTGAAATCCGATATATTCTCTCGAGTTGGATGCAAATCCGTTTAATTTGTTGATTTGAGCTATTTTGAGTTTGGCGCTCCCCTGCCGCGAATGGCAGTTACGGACCAGGACCGGAAACCGGAAGTCGGGTGTAGGGCGCGTTTTGCGCGGTTACTGTGGCGACGCAGACGCTTCCCTGCTGCGGGAAGTGTGCTGACAGTATGACAAGCGAATGAATCTGAAGCATGGTGGGGCTGCATAAAGTTTTAACTTGCTGGAAGTATCGGGAAAACGGAAAATCTATTAACAGTATTAACATTTTATGTTAACATTTTATTAATAATTTCTATAAATCTATAAAAAAATATATATTATATATACACTCACCTAAAGGATTATTAAGAACACCTGTTCAATTTCTCATTAATGCAATTATCTAATCAACCAATCACATGGCAGTTGCTTTAATGCATTTAGGGGTATGGTCCTGGTCAAGACAATCTCCTGAACTCCAAACTGAATGTCAGAATGGGAAAGAAAGGTGATTTAAGCAATTTTGAGCGTGGCATGGTTGTTGGTGCCAGACAGGCCGGTCTGAGTATTTCACAATCTGCTCAGTTACTGGGATTTTCCCGCACAACCATTTCTAGGGATTACAAAGAATGGTGTGCAAAGGGAAAAACATCCAGTATGTGGCAGTCCTGTGGGTGAAAATGCCTTGTTGATGCTAGAGGTCAGAGGAGAATGGGCCGACTGATTCAAGCTGATAGAAGAGCAACTTTGACTGAAATAACCACTCGTTACAACCGAGGTATGCAGCAAAGCATTTGTGAAGCCACAACACGCACAACCTTGAGGCGGATGGGCTACAACAGCAGAAGACCCCACCGGGTACCACTCATCTCCACTACAAATAGGAAAAAGAGGCTACAATTTGCACGAGCTCACCAAAATTGGACAGTTGAAGACTGGAAAAATGTTGCCTGGTCTGATGAGTCTCGATTTCTGTTGAGACATTCAAATGGTAGAGTCAGAATTTGGCGTAAACAGAATGAGAACATGGATCCATCATGCCTTGTTACCACTGTGCAGGCTGGTGGTGGTGGTGTAATGGTGTGGGGGATGTTTTCTTGGCACATTTTAGGCCCCTTAGTGCCAATTGGGCATCGTTTAAATGCCACGGCCTACCTGAGCATTGTTTCTGACCATGTCCATCCCTTTATGACCACCATGTACCCATCCTCTGATGGCTACTTCTAGCAGGATAATGCACCATGTCACAAAGCTCGAATCATTTCAAATTGGTTTCTTGAACATGACAATGAGTTCACTGTACTAAAATGGCCCCCACAGTCACCAGATCTCAACCCAATAGAGCATCTTTGGGATGTAGTGGAACGGGAGCTTCCTGCCCTGGATGTGCATCCCACAAATCTCCATCAACTGCAAGATGCTATCCTATCAATATGGGCCAACATTTCTAAAGAATGCTTTCAGCACCTTGTTGAATCAATGCCACGTAGAATTAAGGCAGTTCTGAAGGCGAAAGGGGGTCAAACACTGTATTAGTATGGTGTTTCTAATAATCCTTTAGGTGAGTGTATATAAGCAGAGAATAACCCAGGAGGGGGCGCCAACCGATCACCGGGGGCTCAGCTATTTGACTTGACTCAATTAGTGGAAGGTTTTAATAAGACGCTCATCTCAGTCTATCAATGAATTAACAATTTTTTAAGTTTTATTTTATTTTGTGAGATTTCTCGTAGTTACCTTTATATTAATGACATTAGCTTACAGCCATACCTATTCTCAGTTTAACCAGATAAGCCACTATGGGTATGGATCAATAAAAAACTCATTATGAGAAGGGCGGCAGTCGCACTCCACTGCAGTGGGGGGCGCTAAGGGTTTAAGGGTTATCTTTACAAACCAGCCACTGAAGGACCGCTGAAGAAGAGATTTGCTCAGCGTATATACACTAACATGGAGGGAGATGGTGTGTCGGCTTCTTTACCGGGGAGATGTGGCTTTTACGTCGTGAAGAAAAGGCGTTATTGTAAAATGATAGTGGGACGTGGGAAGGCGTTTTGTGGGGAACATGCGAATGTGGTGTGTATAACGGACCAGCGCTGGGGCGAGTCCCATATTCACCTCACATTGATTGACGCGACCTGCGGTCAATGTGAGGCTGAAACTTGCAGTGGGCTTTCATATCATTTTGCGGAATTTAAATATAATTAAGTATGTAAACCCATTAATTTAATATCAACGTATAATGGAGGTTGCTGTCAATGTAGGTAAATCGAATTACTCAATAATGTGTGGACTTATTTATACGTACGAGCTACTGGCTGACACATTCAAGACTTCACAATAATCGCAGCTTGCTAACTGCAGTTCAGATCGCCAAGCAACAGCTGTTCCTCAGATTATGGAATAAACCATTATGGAAGACAGTGAATAAAATAGAAATTGTCCCTGAGGTTTTTGTGTAAATCTTGCTAAAGTTATTCTTCTTTCTTCGTTGCTAAAAATGTATAAATCAAAATGTATAGAGTATGTCCCATTACACCAGTCATATAATGCATTTATGTGCCCTTACATTACTTGATTCTAAAATGATCTACTCATTTAAATTGTTGAAGTACTGTGGTTGGTTTTGATATGTTTTCTTAAGAACTACAGCCCTGCTCACTGGAAGTGCTGGGATGACATTTCACTCAGTCTGCTGAATCTGACTTAATAAGTAGCTTTGTTTCATGTTTTCTGCATACTTGTGTTTTTCCTTTGTAAGGAGTACGATGCTGAGAGGATAAGAGTCCCGTGTCCCCTGGATCCTAAGCAGTGAGTCATCAGGAGGTGATACTGGAGGGTGTCAGATGGAGGTGGGACCTAGCCAATCACATGCTGCTTTTTTCCCTTTATGCAGTACAGTGTATCAGGACAATTTGGAAAAACATCTGAAGAAGTGTAACTCAAGGGAGAAACTAAAACCGGTGAGTCTTTTAATGCAGTTCATTTCAAGAGCCCTTTGTCTGAGACATTTAACTCTTGCTGTCATTTTAACATGAATGTTGTTATTATTAAAACATACAGTAATGTCCCAAATATGTTAACGTGTTAATACACTGCATTCAGGAAGTACTCAGATCCCTTCAGTTTTTTCAAATTTTGTCATGTTGCAGCCTTAGGCTAAACTCGTTTAATTTTTTTTCCCTTATTAATCTTCATTTAATACTCAATAGTGCCTAAACAAAAACAGGATTTTAGAAATTTTTGCAAATTTATTAAACATAAAAACCAGAAACATCACATTGACATAAGTATTCAGGCCTGCTACTCAGCACTTGGTGGAAGTGATTACAGCGATTACAGCCTTGAGTCTTCTTAGTCATGCTGACCTAAGTATTCAGGCCTGCTACTCTGCATTTGGTCAAAGCGATTACAGCCTTGAGTCTCCTTGGATATGACACAACAGCTTTGCACACCTAGATTTGGGGATTTTCAGCTGTTCTTCCCTGCAAAGCCTGTCCATCTTTGTCATGTTGGTTGGGGACTGTCGGTGGACAGCTGTTTTCAGGTCTTTCTAGAGATGTGCAATTGGGTTCAAGTCTGGGCTCTAGCTCAAAGACATTCACAGAATTGTCCCTAAACCACTCCTGCATCGTCTTTGCTCTGTGCTAAGGCTCGTTGTCCTGTTGGAAGGTGAACCTTTGGCCCAGTCTGTGGTCCAGAGCGCCCTGGATCAGGTTCTCATTAAGGGTATCTCTGTACTTTGCTCTGCTCAGCTTTTCTTTGACCCTGACTTGTCTCCCAGTCCCTGTCACTGATGAAACACCTCCACAGCATGATGCTGTCACCACCTTGCATCACCACTGGAATGGTCTTCCACAGGTCATGAGCGGTGCCTGATTTCCTTCAGACATGATTCTTAGAATTGAAGTCAGATGCTTAAATTCTGGTTTGATCAGACCAGAGAATCTTGTTTTGCACAGTCTGAGTGTCATTTAGGAGGCCTTTTGCAAACTCAGGTGGGCTTTCGTGTGACTTTTATGGAGCCCAGATCAGTGGAATGATGCAATGATGGTTGTCCTTCTGGAAGTTTCTTCCATCACCGCACACAGGATCTCTGAAGCTCAGCCAGGGTGACTGTTGGGTACTTGGTCACCTCTCTTACCAAGGCTCTTCTGCCCCAATTGCTCAGTTTGGGTGGGTGGTCAGCTTTAGGAAGGGTTTTGGTTTTTCCAAACTTCTTCCATCTCATAATTATGAGGGTACTATGGTCTTTGGAACCTTCAATGCTGCAAATATTTTTTTGCAGCCTTCCCTAGATCTTTGCCTCAACACAATTCTGTCTCTGAGCTCTGTATGGAATTCCTTTGACCTCATGGCTCAGTTCCATTGCCTGACACCATTATATTGACAGTTCTGTGCTTTTTCACTTAAAATGTGAAAAACGTGAAGTAGTACAGTACGGTATAAACGGTATACGATATAAATTTGGCCAACGGGAGAGATTTTGATTATACCGCCCTACCGCAGATATTTCCGCTCCTTGCCTGCAAAAATGACGTAATGAAGTTTCATCAAATAATAATTTATTATTTATATGATTTATATGATTATTGCTGCACCTGGCAGCAGAGTCCTGCACGGGTCTGATTTTGACAAACCGCACCCGCCCGTACCCGTCATCATATCATATCGCACCCGCCCGTACCCATCATCATATCATATCGCACCCGCCCGTACCCATCATCATATCATATCGCACCCGCCCGTACCCATCATCATATCATATCGCACCCGCCCGTACC